CAGGCAGGCCTCTTGATGGCGGGCGGGCGTGCTGAAGGAGACGGGCTGGCCACGCCACGCCGGCAACTCCTCCTGGATGCTCTCCTCCGTCTGCAGGCTCACCGAGAACTGCTGGGCCATCAGCAGGGTGCTCGCTCTCACCTCACACCGCCCCCACACAAAGCCCCGTTCCCAAACGAGCTCAGAACCAGGGCCCTTCCCCACCTCACACCCCACAGGAACCTCAGCTGGGTCCCACCAGAAGCTCCAAACAGCCCAATGCCAACTCAATCCCTTCTCCCTCTCCCCCACTCAAAACCCCTGCCTCTCTCCACAGCGACCCTGAAGCCAGCACCAACCTGCAGACATGGGATGTCTCCTTCCGAAAAGTTAAAGGTCCCAACGACATCCTCTCCAATCTTATACACCGTCTTGAAGATGCAGAATGTCCCCACCTTCCCGCGAGTGTTGCTGATGTTATACAGGTCTGCGGAGCAAGAATAAGGGGGGAAAGGGATGCAGCAGGACAAGGCTCTGCTCCAGACAGCGCCCTGGGTTAGTCACAGAGCCCCGCAGTGACCCCACGCCTGCTGCGCAGGAGTGAGGGACAGGTTCCGAGGCCGCACTCCCTTTGGGAAATGCCCGCAGGACAAGAGCGAACTGCACGCTGGCTGCAACGTGCTGGGGAGAGGGTATCCCTGGCTGAATTCGGATTAGCCTGAGAACTCTGAGCCCCCCAGCCCCCGACAGAGCTGCTCCACAGCCTCAGCCAGAGCTTCGCTTTGCCAACGAGAGGCTTTTGCAGAGAGCCCCCAGCTGCTTCGCAGCCAGGCGAGGACGGCACATTCAAGGAGGGGATGTCACCTACGCAGGCTGCGCCGGGAGGTGGCCACCATAAGCAGTTCTGTTGCCAGGTCCGCCAGGCGAGAGTCTTTCTTCAAGCCCTCCTCCTCCTCCAGGAAGGGGTTTGAGGGCGCAACGGCCTCGTCCTGTGGGAACTGGTAATCCTTGAGCCCTGGGGAGAAAGGAAGAGCATCAGCGGGGCAGGGCGCGGCCCAGGCGGCGGGGAGGGCGGCGCGCAGCCTTACCGTGCAGCACGAGGACACGGAAGGGAACGCGCAGGAGCTTGATGGGGGAGTTGACACGCTGGCCAGCTTGTACACGTACTTCACCGACTGTCCCCGGAAAGAGGGAGGGCCGTCTATGGGCAGCGTCTCACAGTACGAATCTGCAAGGGGTGCGGAACAGATTGCTTTCCAAGGCCAGCAGGAAGCTCCTGGAGCTGCTGCTCGTAGGCTCCCTGCATTGGGGGTCAGGACCAGCAGCGGGGCTGAGCTAGGGACAGTGCCTGGTGCTTTCTGCCATCTCCTCTTTCCCACAGCAGGCCAAGCACTTCCCCGGCTTCCCTGCACCAGCACACCGCTCGTCATCACCCGCGCCGTCGCCCAGACATTGCTTCCAGCACATCGAACCACACGCGCGAACTCTGCCTCAACAAGAATGCGAAAGATGTAAAACCCAGGAACACAAACACATGGGAGCTAAACTTGCTCATCACGAGTTCAACCTGGATCTGCCTCTGCGTACTTCCTCCGCGTGCCGCCGTCGCCACGCAGCCCCCACGCTGCACTTTCCGCAGGGCTCAGCCCCACGCGCACAGAGGTGCCCATCGACACCTCGTGCCCCTTTTGGTGTTTGCTTTGCACAAATCCCAACCTCGGCAACAAAAACGAGTTTCTTCCTGTGTTTTTCTCTGAAGCACCAGGTCTAAACGGCCAAGGAACAATGAAAGAGAACTTCAAACAACCTGTGACATAAACCCCCTTGAGACTGATGACTGAGACCACAAAGCCTCCAACCCTGAGACCTCCGGGATGCCGCGGCCTGGCTTTGTACCGCGCTCAGCCCTCTCGAAGCCCCTTGGCCACCACACAAACCCCAGCGCTCCTCGACGCAGCGTGAACACTTCCGCAGCTTTCCCAAACCGCCCGCGGTATAATGAGAAAGGCGCAAGCAGTGAGCTGTGGAAAGTCTCCACCTCTCTGGCTTGCCCACCGTGACGCAGATACACCCTGCCAGAGGAAGGGCAGCATCCTGCCGTGAAACCACAGATCCCTCCCCACGTCTGGCACATCCTAAGCATCGAGGCTTAGATTAAAAGCTAGGGTTACATTTTAAATATAACCTCAAGATTTAAAATAACAGAAATGGAAGAGAAAAAGCCAGTGCTAGAGCGTGGCACCCACAGGCTGTCACACCTTAAAACACAAGGCTGCCCCGCTGGACCAAGGTGCGGATCAAGCTGAGGACTATCCCGACAGGGAGGAAAACCGGGTATTTCCAAGGCAGGAAGCAGGCTGCTGTAACCACCTGTACCGGGCTCCACAGGAGTGCTCACAGTGACCTTCACGCCTCGTGAGGATTCTCTGAGCAGAGACCATCACCATCCCAGGAGGATGGGCGGTTTGCTACCTGGCACAGGAATGCTGAGACTCGGGAATTCCCACCTTCCTCACATATCCCAGAAGGAAGTACATTCCTGGTGCTACGGCTTCCTTACCCACCCGCTGTACCCTCTGGCTGCGCTCCCGACCCGCATCCAGGCTGCTTCTATTTCCTCCCCTCTCTGTGATGTACCAAATATTTAAAGGTATTACAAAACTGGAGAGGAGGCAAAACCAGCCACAGAAATTACTTGAGGGCTTGAGAAAAATGTCTTACGGTGACAAATTTAAAGACCTCGGTCCGGGCAATGTGTCAAAGGGATGGGAAGTGAGTCAACTGCAACATATAGGCACCACGACAAGGGGAAGATAGTGAGGATAAGCTGGTTGGCAGCGGAAAACAAGGCCTTCTGTCAAGAGACAGCCTGACACAACCTCAGCTGTATGTGCCAGCCCTGGCTACAGTTTAATAACGCAGTACTTTGCTGAAGCAGAATTAAGATTTCTCGGGTTTTGTCTTTTTGCCTTTCCAAACTGTGCAGCAAAACTCAAAACTTCTGAAAAACAGGAAATGAAGAATTAAGATACACACCCACACAGCCTTAACTCTGCCTCCACGGAGCTGGCAGGAGCCCCCAGGAATGGTGTGCAAGCGTGCCAGCTGCAGTCTCGCGTGAGAGGAGCGGCACAGCAGGCCGACGGGATCAGCGTGAGCAGCCTGGCACAGCCGGGCCTGAGATAAGGGGGTTTCGGTGCTAAAACGCCCAGTGCCACACACAGTGGCATCACACGTGACACACACAACGGACATGTGCATCACATGACCAAGGGGAAAGGCTATAACGTATGGCCAAGGAAGTACGAGTTCACGTCCTTCCTATGAAGCTGCATCCAAGCATGAGGCAGATGCAGGCTGCTTGTGCCAGTGTCACCCAGTGTCACAGCAGAACCACACACACAATGTCATGGGGAATTCAGACCGTCACCAGCTTAGCTGGGGGCTGAACAGCTTCTGCCTGCAAAGTCAGCGCACAGGGAAATCCTCTCAATCCATCCCAGACACCTGGAAGTTGGACTGTAGTCACTGATCTGCTCTCCCAGAGCCTGCCAAGTCTGCCTGAGACGTTCCAGGAAAAGGGGCTTCCCCCTGCTCCAGGCGAACGGATGCTCTGGCTCCACACCCGCCAGCAGCAAGGTGCACAGGAGAATCCAGGTAAGCCTCAGGACAGCTGAGACCTCTGCCTCCTCCTCCTCCTCCCTGGCACAGCCACTCTGAGGAAGCACAGCTGACCTTGGCTCCAACGCAGCAGGGCCAGCTCCTTCACCCATGTGCTGCTGCAGAACTGTACGTAAACAACCGAACATGCTCAGGCGTAGGCTTTGCAGTTTAGGAAACACAGCCCCCAGCAGCGCTGCCCCACCCGCAAACCCCCTAGCCAAACCAGGCTGGTTTTACCCTGTCTGCCTTTCACCCCAGTCAGCCCCCTTCAAGCCTAGTGAGGCAGGAGATCCCAGCTCCAAAACCAGCGTGCCCATGGCCCCTTGGTCTCACTGGCAGCTCCGCTCTCACCTCCCCAGAGCTCAGTGCTCCAGTGAAGCCCCCTCCACCTCTCCGCTCCCTTTCTTCTGTGACTCAAGAGGTCTCCATGAAACGTTCCCAGCAGATCCGAAGGACAACCCACAGGAGGTGACCACGCGCAGCCCACAATGCCCAAGGTTTGACCACCGGCTGCTGGAACGCCAAGGAGATCCAGCACAAACTGACAGGCCGGGTAGGGCAGCCACCAAGCAGGAGACAACAGCACTTGTATTTTCACAGCTGTCTACGCAGGTGCAAGAAGCTGCCTGGAACAATGAAAATGAGTCGCTGCTGCTATCTTGCAAAAAGGATGAAAACAGCAAAAGGGAAAGTAGCAATGAAGGAGAGCTTGAAGCGGATCCACTGGAGGGACACTGAGGGCCTTGGAGACTTGGAGAGCTTTTGGGATGAGAAGTGCTCACTTTTGTAGCAGGAAAGCTACAAGAGCAGAAAACACAGCGATCTCCAGGCCAGCCACAGCCTGAAGAGGAAGCACAGACCTTTGAGGAGTCCAGCCTAAATCCCAAGAACGCTCCAGAGCGGCCAAAGAAATAAAGGTAAGGAAATGCCGGTGGGTGTAAATATTCCTTCAGCTGCAGAAAAGCTTTTCCGCCTCACAGCTACCCAACGGACCTGCGGCAAAGGACAGGGGGCCGCGGGCAGGACCGAGGGGCACGCTGCAGCATGCAGCCCTCAAAGGGCAGAGAACAGACTCTGGGTGATGCAGCAGTTCCTTAGCGCTCACGCTCCCACCAAGGTGCCCTGTACCCCACTTGCAGCACCCAGGTCTGCAGAGGCATCTTGGAGACAGGGCTCCCCAGAGGCAAGCTCTCTGGGCAAAGGAAGAGAAGATAGGACTCACAGGATTTTGACTCCCCGGGATCCAGTCGCAAGTCACAGAAGAGAATCTTTGGTGGAGTGGACAGGATACACTGGCCCCGCTCCCCTGGAAGAGAAGCAGCAGCACGTGAACGCTGTCCCACCTCGGGACCCGGGCCAAGGAGGGCACTCACTGCACACAGGCCAGGGGAGGAATGAGGAGGAGAAGGGGTCAAGGAGGATGTATGTCATGATCCTGAGACATTCCTAGAACAGCCGGACAGACAACCGTCACGTTTCACTCCAAGCTACCACCACTGATCCCAGTATTAACAAGGTCCTGCAGCAAGGACCTTGTACCAGGGAATCGCCAGTGAAACCAACGTGGACTTCCCACTCGCGTCTACGCGTGCTGCCCTCCAGACACACGTTAGTCTGCTTGACTCCTGCTCCTTGTGCCCTCGCTGTCCCTACCCAGGCTTACAGGAGCAGCACTCACCTCTGTTGGGGACGAAGACTGTCTCGTTCTCTGCCTGCACGTCATGCTTGCTGCCGTCAGAAGGAGGGAGCGCTACCCGGTTCTCGCTGGCGTGAAACTGGCAGTGGATCTGGGCGCTGGCCCACGCCAGCATCTCACTGGGGGCAAAAAAGAGCAACACACGTGTTGATGCTTTAAGCCTGGATCACAGCGAGCGTGAAGTGACACGCAGAGCAGCACTCTGGGGCACCTCCGGTGGCAACACGACTGCCAGGGAGGTGGGCAGACTCAAAAGCAACAAATACCCGCAGCCTGGGTTCGTCTGCCCCTGCCCACAGCGCCTGGATGCCCCAGGCTTGACCCTCCTCAGGGCAGGCAGGCCGCAGGCGTGCCCCCTCCCCACAGCACCATCCCCCTCAGGAACATCCACTTCTGGTTGTGTCAGACCAGAAGAAGACGCTTCTGGGTCCTTCATAAAGACCTACTTTCTCCTCACGATGCCAGGGATTTGCTGGTGGCTACAGGGGAGGCCAAGGTGCCATTCCGCCTCCGCTCTACAGCCACGAGAATCGGTGGCATCCAGCATGAAAATGTGTCTGCTACGAGCTCAGCCATTCCACAGGGCATTTCCCACAGCATTACTGACACCTTTCCGTTTCCAAAACGCTCATCTGTTTTAATTCCAATAGCAGTCTCGTTAATTTAGCCAGTTATGTCTCCTCTGGTGTGTTCTAACATCTCAACCTCATCAGTAAGCACTGGAGCTTCAGGTGGCACAGGGATTTTCTGTGGCACACTGGTATCTCCCAAAGTGACACATCGGAGCAGTTAAACATGTAGATGAACCGGAGGAAAAAGGCGTGCTGCATTTGTCTCAGCTGACTAACAACGCCCTGTTTGATCTTTTGCATGTGCTGGCTGCCTCTGCCCAAACTCGTGTTGCTTACTCTACACAGTTACCTCTAACCCCACCACCGTGATTCCACACCTTCGGAAGTACCAGCACGGCTTTTCCGCAAGGTTTTCTGTCGCAAGGTGTCTGCCATATGGAAACAGAGAAATGCTCTTGCTTAAGGGACCACGCTCACCCATTTTGTATAAGCTTACCGTGATTACAGTATTCACTTTATTTTGAATCGTTTTTCCCCTATTTATTTTCCGTATCGCCCAACAACACACCACTGGATTGTTTTACTGTTGTTTTGTTGTTTTTTTTTTTTAACGAGACTCCCAAACAAAATTTCCAAGTGCCTTCCTACCAGCACACCTGGCTTGTCCCGTTGGCAGGGCGCAGAAGAATCCTGCACTGGTGCCACTGTCGTTTCCTTGCCCTCTCGCCTCCCCCTAACAACCCCTGTAGCCCACACGGGTCACACTGCATCCACGCAGCCTTTGTGCAGAAGAGCTTTTGTTTCCTGCGTGCCTCGTACATCAACCTTCCACCCCTACCGCCTTCCAGTCCTGTCCCTGTGCTGGAAACGCGTGCGGATCAGTTCCTCCCCCTGCGCTGCTGCTTGTGCTAGCCCAGAAGGTTCCAGTCCCCGACAGGTCTACCTGCCCGCTGCAGCGACTGTGCTTTGATCTGGCTCCTGCCTTTACGCAACCCACAGCTTCGATTTCCAAACCACCGATCTACTTGTGTTGCCACTCATATGACCTGGCCAGGTCTTGTCAGTTTGGTCACCTGCTTTCTTATGTTAAAAATTCTCCTTTTTCCAAGAGGTGGTTTTCTATGGACCACGACACACCTCAAGTTCATAGAATCACAGAATGGTTTGGGTTGGAAGGGGCCTTACAGACCATCGGGTTCCACCCCCCCTGCCATGGGCAGGGACACCTTCCACTAGGTCAGGCTGCTCAAAGCCTCATCCAGCCTGGCCTTGGACACTTCCAGGGATGGGGCATCCACAGCTTCTCTGGGCAACCTGTGCCAGTGCCTCGCCACCCTCTCCGGGAAGAATTTCTTCCTGATATCTAACCTAAACCTCCCCGCTTTCAATTTGTACCCGTTACCCCTTGTCCTGTCACTACAGGCCCTTGTAAAAAGTCCCCTCCCAGCTTCCTTATAGGCCCTTGTAAATTCCCAAAATAAGCTCCCATTACTGTGCTGCGAACCCCCGAGACTGCTCCAGCTGGTGCCTTTGCATTCCCACGTTTCAGAACCAGGAAAAACAACGCTGTCACCGCACAAGACAAAACTCCAGAACACCAGATGCATCGGCCACAGCTGAATTCGAAGGCTGAATTCAGCAAAGTGGAACCGTGAAGAAAAGATGGAAAGTTAAGGAAGGCCATAAGCAATGAAGCCTTACAGCGGTAACAGAAGAGACTGCGTTGCTGCTGCTGAGACTGCAAGCACTGGAAGCGGGGCCAGCAATCACGTGCGAAATGCATACTGGTGATGAAAAGATGCTGACCCTGACGGGGCTGGAAACGGACGCTTCCCAGGAAGCGCTGAGGATGAGAAATCCCTCTCCACCCCCTGGAGGATCGGACAAGGCGGCTCTGGGTGACTACTTACGGTGAGGAGTCACCCCCTGTGAGCCAATGTAGGAAGCTCCCATCTTCCCACATTTCCTCAACACCTAATCCAGGCACGGTAATGGTAAGAGGAGATGCAGCGCTGAAAGGCCGGGCCACAGACAAGGCTGCCGCAGAAGGCTGCCTTTTTCTGACTCCAGTGCTCACCCCTCTGCCTGTCAGCTGGGATCACTCCGACTTGTCAGCACACTGCCAGACAGAGCAAGCTCCTTCCATAAACGTAGGAAATGACAGCGTTGTCTGGATGCTGCCCTGCGACACCGCCCCCCTGGCGTAACTCGATATCCTGCTCTGACAGCCAGTCTGGCTTCATTTTCTGCCTGCAACCTCGTCACCGAGGGCTCACCTGAAGGGTATTGCTAACCACACACTTTTTTTTCTCATCTCCTTCTTGGGGGCAGAAAACCAGAATAATGACCTCAGTTTCAGCCCTCAAACAGCCGTGGCACAAAGCACCCGTAATGGAGCACCTCGTGCAGGGAAGTCGCCAGCGGCCGAGC